TCTTCTCTAGTCTCGTTTTCTGCAAATTCTAGCCACTCAAAACTCTAATATCTATTTTCTCAATCCTGCAAGATTGCTGGGTCCAAAAAAAGTGCTTATAGGCTGAAAGCCAGGATGATCATAGGGTTTACCTCTTTTGCTTCCCTTCTCATAGAGATCACACCCCTGCACTGACTGCCATCCAGTGCCTGAAAGCAGTTTGCTTCATATATTTATTTGGACTACTTTTCTAGTTTTGTGAGTAGCAGGCAAGTTCAGTGCCAGGTACACCACTAAGGCTAGAAATGGAAGCTCTTCCAGGTAATTCAGATATATACTAAGGTCTAGGGAATGTAAAAGTTTGCTATGGCTTCTGCAACAAACTACCACAGTCTAGGTTGTTTAAACAACAGAAATTTATTGCTCCACAATTACGTAGGTCTAGAAGTCTGAAACCAAGGTGTCAGCAGAGTTGGTTCCTTCTGAAGACTGTGAAGGAAATGTGCTCTAGGCCTCTCTCCTTGACTTGTAGATGGCAGTCCCTGTGTCTCTTCACAATGGTTCTTTCTATGCAGCATTGTGTCCCAATTTTCCCTTTTTATAAGGACATCAGCCATACATGATTAAGGCCTACCTTAATGACCTTGCTTTAATTTGGCAAAGACCCTATTTCCTAATAAAGTCATATTGTGAGGTACTTAAGGGGTATGACCACAACATATGAATTTGGGTAGGGAAATACAGTTCAGCCTGTAACAGGTAAGTTTAGATTCAAGTTTCAGTCCTTATTCTATGGGAAGTGTCCTTTGCCATAACACAGGACCCACCTCAGCCTTATAGGCACTTCCATCATTGTTTACTCTGATTTGTCTCTCTCAATTAAGAGAGAAACTAGGAGGTGGTCATAAACTGTGAAATCAGCAAGTTGGATTGTTTTCAGAAGAGAACAATGTATAATGTTTACTTTCAGAAGGATGAGATTCAATTATTCCCATAATAATTCCATAAAAACTAACAGGCACATAAGTTAGACATATCTTTCTAAGAGGAGTTCAGTTTAACCTCACTCAGATTCTACAAACAAGCACACTTTTCCACACGGTTACAGGATGTGACAGGTTTTTGTTGTTGGAGATGAGAGTGGTGGGGTGGTAATGAGTCAGCTTGGTGGCTGTGGCAGGAAAGGCTGATGGGAAATGGATCTTTTGCTGGTCAGAGCTGGAAAAGCCCTCAGAGCTCATCATCTAACAGTGAGGGGGATGTGGGCTCCAGAAGGAGAGAAACAGGCTCTCTAGGGAAAGTGGTACCATGTGCCACGGGTGTCAACAATCACATTGTCATTGTGTAAGTGACTTTCAAATTGATAATGTTTTGCCATCTGTGTTGTATTGGTTCACCACAATTATACCATAAAGAGGGTTAGGGCAGGGTTGGTTATCTCCATTTATAGATGATAGGACTGAGGTTTGCAGAAGTTAAGTTGCTTGCTTAAGGTCACACAGAAAGCCAAAGGAAGCTCAAAATTCAAATGCAGGTCTCCTGAGTTTTAGTTCACCACTCCTCTTTGCACTCCATTTATGAGTTATGGTTGTAGGTATTTGCATAGTGATTCTGCTTTCTAGATTCACTTGACACAGGCTTATCTTCACTTCTATCATTAATTGCAGACCTCTTTTCCATCTTGGCTCCTCAAGTTGCTCACAACCTGCCTAGTAGAGAGGGCCAAGGGGAGAAGGAGGAGTACAGCACCACCACTTTCAGCCAGCCATCCTGTACTTATAAAATATAAGCATCTCAGAGTGGGAGGTGGCTCAAGTGGTAGAGTGCTTGCGTAACAAGCATAGGTCCTGAGTGCAGTCCCCTGTACCATGAAACTCTACTTACTGCTTTCCCAGTAAGCAGAACTCCTTCTTTTTAAAGGTGCTAGATATGGCAAGCTTTCTACCATTGAGCTACATCCTCAGCCCAGAGGCTCCTTTGTCTTGATAATAACCTCCTCTTTTCCCCATAACTACCTATTCTCTTGACTTGTCTAGAAATCTCTTCTTCGCATTTTTTATGTTTTTATCAATCAAATGACTTATCTCCTGGACACACTTTTAAAATTTTGATATATCTTTAAAGTCTCATTTAATCTATAAATCACTCCTCTGTTGTGTTATTTTTCTTTAATTTTAAAAATAAATTTTATTGTATATATTTGAGGTTTATGACACAATATGCCTAGTGAGGCATATTATCATGTCATCTCACATAGTCACTTTGTGACAAGAGTAGCTAAAATTTACTTATTTAATAAAAATATACCTATACAATAATTTTTCACTGTAGAGTCATGCTGTACATTAGGTATCTAGACTTTTTCATCCTACCTGTCTTCTTTGTATTATTGGATGTATGTCTCCCTATTTCCTCCTGAGCCTCACCCTTGGTAACCAGTGTATTATTATCTCTGTGTATTAGACTTTTTAACAAAAAGATTCCACATATAAGTGAGATCATACAATGTTTTTCTTTTTGTGTCTTATCTCACCTGGCATAACATTCTCCAGGTACGTCCAGGTTGTAGCAAATGTCAGAATCTCTTTCTTTTTTCAGGTTGAATTGTACTCCACTGTGTATATATACATTTTCTTTATCCATTCACCCACTGATGGACACTTAGGTCATTTCCATATCTTAGCTATCGTGAATAATGATGGAGTGAACATGGTAGTAAAGATATCTCTATAAGGATTTTGTCTCCTTTGGGTAGATTTCTGGGTCATATGATAGTTCTAGTTTTAATTTCTTAATGCTGTACTAATTGAAATCGCCACCAGCACTATACAAGGGTACTCTTTTGTCCACACTTTTGTCAGTAATTGTTCTCTCTTGTCTTTTTGGTAATAGACATCCTAATGGGTATGAAGCAATACCTTATTGTAGTTTCAATTTGCATGTTCCTGATTATTAGTCATGTTGAGAGTTTTTCATATAGCTGTTGGCCATTTGTATGTCTTCTTTGTAAATATTTCTGTTCAGATCTTTGTCCATTTTTAAATTGGTTTATTTGGTTTTCATCAACAAGTTATAAAAGTTCTTTATAAGTTTTGGATATTAACACCTTATCAGATATGTTTGCAAATATTTTTTTTCACAGTTCATAGGTTGCTGTTTCTTTTTTTTTTCTTATCATTTATCCACTCAGAAACCTGGTTTTTGACTTATTTAGCAAATAATTCTAATGACACATTATTTCTGTTTTTGCATAATTATAGATCTTGGGTAAAGATTTAAAAACTTAAGAGAGGCTATGATCTAATTTTGGTTTAGTATCAAGACTGTATTACATTCTATTCAAGTTACTGTGTGACTTTTTTTTCCTTTCTTCCTTCATGACTGCCTTCCAGCCTGCTGAAGGACTTAAATAAAATGTTGTGCCTTTTCCAGCTTGATGTCTTTATATGTGCCCATCCCTCTGCCCTGCTTCAGTCTCACCTCAGCCACCACTTCTTCCTGGAGCCTCCCCAGATCACTGATCTGACAGAGATGTCTCTCTTGTGTATTCCCTTAGCATCTTGGTTTTCTCTTATCATAGCACTTATCACACTGAATGTAATTATCTGATTATCCATCAGCTTGCTTCCTCTGCTGCCTACAAGACTTGCTCAACTTGGGTTCCACAGTTTCTGCAGTGTCCATCATATTAGTATTACTTGTTGAATGAATTAAATTCAAACTTATCTGTGTCATTATCCTTTTGCATTAAGGACAGTTAACATGAAACTTGTTTCTGTGCTCAGTTTGACTTCCTCTTTTGGAACCATTTTTTGAGAAGTGCAATAAAGTTCCTCTTCACATTTCTCCACCAAAGTGGCCTTTGGAAAGTTTGGGGTACTCCTCAGAGGGCACACATGATATTATCCCATCCTTTGTTTGCCCTACTTAATGCTAAAAGCTCAAGTTTCCCATGCCCTGTGTTCCAAACCCAGAGTGAGACTTGAGCTCCTCTCATCTTTAGAGTTCCACTTCCATGCAATACCATGTTTTCACAACAGGAGTTTATTGAGTCCTCCATTTTTCTCTGTGCCCTAGGTCATCCCCATGAGCATACAAACATGCTAGTATTTCCCCTGTCTAAAATCACAATCACACTGCCTTATCCATCTCCTGAGAACCAAATCTTTCCTAAGAGCTTTGTATGCCTGTAAAGGCAGAACCAAGCTAGGGTTCACCTGCCTCAACCAAACCTGTAGGGGCTGCCCTACTTTTGCTTCTGCCCCTTGTCACAGTCTCAAAAGGGGCTTTTAGTTTGAGGCATACTTGTGGGTCTTCTGTGATAATTGGGCTTCACTTTAGCTTTTCAGCATTTCTTTGGATTCTCTGCTACCTCAATCTCATGTTACTGAGCAGGGAAGGAGATGAGAACACTCCAAAAGGTGGCTTTTCCTTTTTTCCTGGCCTCGTGGTCAGAGCTGATGGGCTTGTAAAAGTGTCAGGCATAATGAAGTTAGAGATATAAAAGACTTCCTGTCCCATTGGTCCCTTGGCAGAACCACACTTCCGGCTGTCACACATGCCACTGCATAGGAGACAAAACCGCAGAGCTATAAATCTCTCTTTGCCAACTATAACATTGAGAATCTCTTGTGTAAGGAAGTTCCCACTGTCAGCCCATTACCCTCTCTGTGTTCAATTTCCAACTGAAGCTAGTGCCACAGTTCCCTGCAGCAGAAAGTAAGAATGCACTATACACATGGGCTGGCCTAGTGGCATGGAATGAGTAAGTGGTATCTAAATGTATGAAGACAGGGAACTCAAAGAGGTTCCCCACTTCCTTTTCCAAACTGTGGGTTTGAATCACATTACTAGACTCCACAATAGTGACCCATCCTTTTCATCGTACAATAAAACAGTCTTGAAGATGGTGCACTTGATGGTGCTTCTTCTTTCCTTACGTCATGACATAAGGTTCTTGGAAGAGCCTGAGAAGCAAGAGCACTTGCTCCAATAACTGCATGTTGAATTGCCTTCTGCAGGCCTGGCGCAAGCGCTGGTTTGTCCTCCGGCGGGGTCGCATGAGTGGCAACCCTGATGTCTTGGAGTACTACCGGAACAAGCACTCCAACAAGCCCATCCGCGTGATAGACCTCAGTGAATGTGCTGTATGGAGGCATGCAGGCCCTGGCTTTGTTCGGAAGGAATTTCAGAACCATTTCGTATTCATTGTCAAGACCACTTCCCGTACATTCTACCTGGTGGCCAAGACTGAGGAAGAAATGCAGGTGTGGGTGCGCAGCATTAGTCAGGTCTGCAACCTCAGTCACCTGGAGGATTGTGCAGGTAAGAGCATAGCTGGACCTCCTGTGTGCTAAGGGTGTTGTGCCTGCACTGGACAGCTACCGCAGAAAAATGGTGCAATGTGCCAAACCTGCCTCATTGAACGTATTTTGGCAGGCTAATTTACATCAGAGCTAATTCACTAAATGCAGTACAGTACTGTATGCAAATTGACATGTTGACATAGTTCACCTCATTCTATGATTCAAGCCCAAATATGGAAGAACAGGATCCATGCACACACTTAGTGCTTCAGATCTCTGCAGGGGAAATAAGCTGTAAATTTGCTTTAGGCTGCTTCTGGGCCATAGCAACAATTGACTCAATTTCTCTCTGTTTCTCTATCTGTCCCTATCTCTCTGCTCTCTCTGCCTCTCTCTGTCTCTTTGTCTGTCTCTCTCCTCTCTCTCTCTCTCTCTCTCTCTCACACACACACACACACACTACACTACTTTTCCTATGTAATATGCCAGATGTATTATAAGCTAGGGCTACAATTCACGTCCCTTCATGGATTTTGTTCTTGATCCCTGACATTATTGCACTGTACTCTGACCCTCCAAATATGGAATCTTTAATCTTATTTCTTTTTAGTCTCTGACTCTAGTAGATAAAACCTTACCCCTAAATCTGGTCTACAGTTGCTTCAACATTTCAATAGGTACTCTGTTTTTCACAACCTAATACTGAAATGTCCACATTAACACTAGGTGGTGATGTGGAGCCAGACTTGCATCTCTCTCTAGAACAGACATGACTGTGCTTCCTGAGGACAGAGTCCTTTCCTTCTCATGAGCCAGCAAAGCTTATTAGCAAGACTTTTCAGTAACGTGCACAGTAATTCTATTCTGGCTAGATTCTAATATCATGCAAACCAAGCAGAATCCTTCCTGACCAACTCCAGTCCTGCTGCTGACTCTTCACCATCCTACTCTCTGCTTTCAGCCCAAATCAGATACATATTCCTGTATCAAGTTATATATCATCTTTGTTTCTTTCCTCATCTAAGAGTTATCCCAAAACATATATAAACATTATGTTATCCCAATAATCCAAGAGGAACAAGAATGAGTAAGGCAACCAGATAAAAACCAGAAATCACTGCCTTGGCATGAAGTTTTAATAATCCAGGAAACTCCCTACAACTTCTTTCATTCCCTCAGTTTTCAGGAGAATGTAAAGGCAGAGTCCTTTTCAGAAAACCACACCAGAAAGGCTTTCTTATGGCTTTTCACATACAGTAGCTTTATCTACAGAGGATACATTCCAGACATGGCCTGGTGGATTCCTAAAGCCTCAGCTAGTACCAAAACCTGTGTATAATGGTATTTATATATAAAATTGTATAATTATAACTACCATTGTATAAATGGTTACTAATATACTATTTCCCTAAATATACATACACAAGCTTAATGGCTTTTTCATCTTAACTAAGCACTTACCATACACTATGACCAAGACCATAACTTTTTCAGTTTGAGGGGTGACAGTAAAACTGTAACAAATTTATTTTTCCTTCACAGTTTCACACATAGAAGGCTCATTCTTACTGTCAATCTTGCAACCTCAGCATGGGATTTTTTTCTTGTTTAAGTCAAAAAACTTTCAACTTTTTACTAAAGAAAATACTTTATGGCTTCTCTTTTGCATATCCAAATTGCTAGCATCATTACTTTTGCACTAGAAGAACATTATTAAGAAAAATAAGGGTTACTTGAAAATAATCACTGTGATACCATGACAGTCAATTTCATAATCAGGAGGGCTATCAAGTGACTAATGGATGGGTAGTGTATGCAGTGTGAATACACTGGACAAAGACAGCACAGTGTGGATAACCTGCAACTTAAAACTAATGAACTGTTAATTTCTGGAATTTTCCATTTCAAATTTCCAGACCATGGTTGATTGTAGGTAGCTGAAATCAAGAAAAGTGAAAAGGGAGAATGACTGTATAATGTCTCCAGCAACCACACAGTAGTCAACACATTGTGTGTGTGTACCTTGGGCAGGAGCTCTGTTAAAATGCTTCTGCACATTAATTTGTCATATTCCCATACTGGTTCAATGGCATCTACAGTATTATTATCTCCACTTTACAGAGAAGGAAACTGGAATAAGGCAGGTGGCAACTTGCCCAAGATAAGGATTGGCAGGTAGTAGAGTCTAGACTTGAACCTAGGCAGTTTAGAGTCATTCTGACTCAGGAATTCTGTACTGTCAACTTGGTTCAAAGGAGAAATAAAATCAGGCTGATCTGGACTTCTCATGGTTCCTGATCCAAATTCATTTTTAGGGCCATGTTCTTGGGTGATGGGGAGACTATTAGTCTTCTTCAGAAACATGGATTTTTCCAGCGATCACAACAAACTGTTTCTTTCCTTCTCTTTACTTATAACAATCTTTAACATTATTCATTAGTTATGTGTTATTTGCATCACTCTTCTTCTAGACTATAAACTCCAATAAGGGCAGGGTCTCTGTCTCAGCTACATCATCAAGTTAGAACAATTCTGAACATATAGTGGATGTAATACTAGGTTCTATATAGACATAAATAGACATGCATACTTATATACATATATACATACATATATATGAATAATACTATGCTATTCATTGCTTTGACAAATAGCTGAGAAAAACAAAGAGGAAAGATTTATTTGGGCTCATGGTTTCAGTCCATTGTTGGCTTACTCCGTTACTGTAGGTTTATGATGAGACAGAACATCATGGCAGCAAGAGCATGTGGTGGAGCCTGTGCTCACAGGCTTTCTCCTACTTCCTCTTTTGTTTTATCCAGGACCCCAGCCTATTACATGGTGCCACCCATATTTAGGGTGGGTCTTCCCCACTTACGCATCTCTAGAAATGCCCTCACACACTCACTAAGAAGTGTGCTTTACTAATCTCATAAGCGTGTCAATCCAGTTAAGTTGACAATCATGATTAACTAAGCACCCCTTGTCAAATTGATATGCAAATCCATCTCCTTAAACCATATCTAATTCCCAAATAAAGACAATAGCAAGGTCATAACTCCACACAACATGGTATAACTATCCTGTGTACAATTCAAACCACACTAATTCCTCAAAGTCTCAACAGTTTCAGCATTGCTCAAAAACCCAGTCTCTACAGAGGCTCAAGATAATCTCTTACCTGTGGGTCCCTGTAAAAATCAAGACAAAATTTACATACACCCAACATACAATGGCACAGAGTAAACATTCCCATTCCAAAATGGAGGAATAGAAGAATAGCAAGGAAAGATCAGACTAAAGCAAGACCAAAACCCAGCAGGGCAGGCATTCAATCCTGTAGGTCCATGTCCAACATCTAGGGAACAAGGTTTCATGATGTGAGCTCCAAAGGGCTTGGGCAGCCCTGCCCCTTACAGCTTTTCTTGCAGCAGCCCCTGTATTGTTTTTCCTGGGCTGACTCTGTACACTGCCTCTGACTGTTCTTGGCAGATGTTCCATGTTTCTGACATATCTAACCTTCCAGGGCCTGGGCCTTCACAGTTTCATGAATTGCCCTGCCATGGGCTTCTCCCAGGGAATCTAACCCTGCTACACATTGCTTGGCCTACCCAGGTTTTCCTTTGGAGTCTGGGTGGAAGCCTCTATGACCCTGCAACTCTTGGATTCTGCAAGCGTACACAGCCAACACCATGTGGATGACAACCATCTGTCAACCACCAGTTAAAGTGGTATTCAGGATCCTTTAGATACACAGTTGTAGTGACCTCTTGAGTGCTTGGGCAGTTGAACCCAGTAATGACTTCTCTTGTATGATCAGAGCATATCAGTTGCACTCCATTGTTAAGGGAAAGTCTTTCAAACAAGTTTATACTTTTACACTGTTGGCCCTGTGATGGATGAGAGCTCACTGATTCCTGAGGTGCCCATCTTTCCAATTGTCGTGGGGCAAAGGACTTGGTTTCTTTTTAGTGGTGCTAATCTCTTCAAAAAATGATGCCTTCCTTAGCCTCAACTTTATATGGGTTTTTCTGACCAAACTGCAAGTTTTTCAAATCTTTCTTCTCTGCTTTGTGCTACAAATTCTCACGGTAAGCTTGTCTAAAAGTAGCTGGCAGTAACCATGCCACAGCCATAACGCTCCTTCAAAATTTCCTCTTCCACCTCAATTAGTCTATCACTTTTAAACTCAGCCTCGTTCAAAGTCTCAGGGCATGTACAAAACACGGACAATCTCTGTGCCATAAAGTAATATGAATAGCCTCTAGTCCAATTCACAAAAGTCATTCCCATCTGATATTTCATGATCACAATCTTTTCTGTCCTCATTCCTATATCATTCTGGTCTTCTCAGCACCCACCAGAGTCACCCATTAAGCTTTGCTTACAACATTCTAGGGTTTCTCTAGTTTGCATTTTCAAACATTTCCAAATTCCTCCCACAAAACAATTCCAGAGGCTTCTTGAAACACATTGTTATTTCTAGTGCCAGTTTTCTGTGTTAGTTTGTTTTGCTGGGACAAATACCTGAGAAAAACAATTTAGAAGGAGGAAAGATTTATACGTGCTCATAGTTTCAGAGGCTTCAATCCACAGTCAGTTAGCACCATTGCTTTGGGCCTGAGGCAAGACAAAACATCATGGTGGCAGGAGTATGTTGCAGAGGCTGCTAATTTCACAACAACTAGGCAGGAGACAGAGAGAGAGAGAGAGAGAGAGAGAGAGAGAGAGAGACCCATGACAAGAAATAGTCCCAAAGGACACAGTTCCAATAACCTACTTCCCTCCAGCCAGCCCACCTCCTACCACCTCTCAATAATGCCATCAAATTGGAATCCACAATCCATGATGTAATTGCAATTCTCATAATCTAATTATCTCTCAATGATTGAATCCACCAGATAGGGGCCAAGCCTTCCAACACATGAGCCTTTTGAGGGACACTTCATATCCAAACTAACATACATATATGCATATGTGCATCTGTAAGTATATACATATCAACTTTTTATGCATAAATACATATATATATATATATGCATGTTTGTTCAGTGAGTGGACAATTATGCAGGGCTGCTGCTGAGGGCCATAAGGAAGCTGTGTGTAGACTATCTAAGTGCAGCTTTTCAGGCCAAGAATGCTTGTCTTTTTTTACTCTTAATTGATTCAACACTTCACTCTTGGAACACTGGCCTTCTTTCCCAGACATTGTTTATAGCTTGGGGAAATGGTCGCCTCCATCAGTACAAACACCAGCTGTGATTTGCATCTTCTATTTGGCTTTTTGCATGCTGTTTGAAAATTTTGAGTGAGTGTTATAACCATTCTTAAAACACTAACTTGGGAAATGATTTCTCCAGCAGATTCCATGGAAAGCCTCCCTCACATGCTCACCTCCCTCCAGCCATCTCCTGCCAGCTCCCTTCATACTGCCCATGCTGCCAGCTCAACCTTGGCAAGAGGTGACCTAAACACTAATACCATAGCCACTGAAGAAACCAGAAGTGAGTCAGAGTTTCTCTTCCTTCCTGATTATCTGGTTCTGTCCAACTGTGAGACTGGAAGACTGCACCATGCCAGGTATGCTTATGCCTGATATTGTCTGAGCTGGGCCTTCTAGCATGCTTTCCTATGTTCTCAGAACTCACACTGTCTCCTCCTGCATAGTTTGTTTCTGGTATGTGCTCAGTGTGCCTGACTAAATCAGTTGTTCAGCAAGAGTGTTTTCTAAGCGGGTGTGTCTGCTGTCACCTCTCTTCCTGCCAAGATCCTTCCAGTGATCTGGTGACAGATCACTATCAACCACTATGAAAGATGAAGCAGTATACTAAACAAAATGAGTCATGTATTTTTTGGCATTGTGGCTTTCATTTTTAGCCTTACATCTTCATATGCATCTGATGCTTATAGGATGAAAAAAATCAACAACCTTTTTCTTCCCCTATACCAATGGATTGGTGTAACTGAGGGTAGTAGAGGGAACACAGTTCCATAAGTAGAACAAAAAAGTGGTATTGGAGGAATGGGAATGAGGCTAGTATGGATTTTTTGGTGGGTGGATGGCTGCATAGCAGTCAAATTTATATGCTTCTCTTCCTTTAGTCTTCCCACCAGATGTGATAGCTGGTCAAACTCAGACCGCTCATTGGAACAGACTTCATCTGATGATGTTTTTGTTGAAGGCCTGCAGCCACTACCCTCCAGTAACTTGGTCCACCCCTCACGCCATGGGAATGGATCTCAGGAGATGCCTTCCATGAGGCCTCAGGCTGCTCTGATCTGGAATAGAGAAATCAATGGTCCATCCAGGGACCACTTGTGTTCTTCACCATTGTTGGAAACTTCCTTAAATCCCACTATTCATGTGGATAAAAACCAAGTTTCCTTGCCCTGTGGGGCAAAAGAACTAGACATTATATCCAACAGTCCACCTCCACGGCCCCCTAAGCCAAGGCATCTCTCTGAAAGGCGCCAAGATGAGCAGCTCTTATGGCATGGGTACAGAAGCAGCAAGAAGCCAGAATGCACTCTAGTGCCAAGAAGAATCTCTCTCTCTGGTTTAGATCACATGAGAACCTGGAAAGGTAAGTGTTAGATGTGATAATTCAGGTACAGAGAGAAGCCTGGACAAGGACTGCCCTTCCTGGCTCCTCTTCACACCTTGAATCCACATGAGGACTTCATTCATGTTCCTTGCTTAAATCAGTCCAGTCCTCCTGGTGGGGCTGGTTCCTTGATGAAAGCACAAAGCCTGAAGGCAGCACTCCCCTGCTCTTGAGTGACTCCACCCTTCCTTTACACCTGGCCACCAGAGATGCTTAGGTTGCTATGGATGCTGCAGGAAACAGGAGCCCTGGCTCCTTGTGATGGGTTTGCCTATGTGTGTTCTTGCCCATGTAGTAGTCTCCCCACCTGAGACTGAGCTGCTAATGTTTGTTTGGAGTCACTCAGAGATACACTTGGCACAGAGGGTGATATCTTTTGATTCAGCTTGGCCCCATTCCCTCCCTTGACTCTCACATGCATAGTGAGCCCTGAAATTGTAGAGCATAGCTCCTTCTATTTTCTAACAATCCTATCAGCCTCACTCATCATTCCATCTGCTGCATTCTTTCCAGATTCTGTCTATACACTATTTATGTGGCTTTTTATCAAGCTGTGCCCATAAACATAATTGTAACCTACCCCATCAGTTTTGGTTCATGGGTCTCCTCATCTTTTTTGCCACGAGCTGACCAACCTAAGCATTTTACTCTTCTCTCTTATGTCAGCCAGTATGTCTCAGACAGACACAAAAACTAATTCATATTCTCTCTTTATATATTTATAGATGTATACATATATATATGTAAAACAACTAATAATCCTTATCTAGTAAGGAAATATTTTTAAATAATTATTGAAAGTGTAAGGGATACAAATTTTTCAAATCTCTCATATGACTAGGAAATAAAATCACTCCAGCAAAGAGTGATGTGACTTCCATATGCATGTTGCTTCATGTGTGACAAAAAGGGAAACATTAAAGCAGGTAAGAAGATTTTAGAAAGTGAACTGAGTAAAACCAATAGAATAATAGAGTTTGAAAATGGATCGAAAATCTCTAAGAACAAAATAATTAAAATAAGTTGAAATTTCAAGACAAACACAAAACAGCCAAATTGTGTTCCTTCACAGTAAGGCAAACAAAAGTTAAAACTAATTAAAATAGAGATTTTGACCATAAAACAAAGACCAAAGTGACAGTGTTGAATAGAAAATGTGTCCAACAAAACAGAGGGAACATGTATAGCTTATTGTTCTGCCTTTCCCACTGAGCTCCGACTGGAACTGGTGTTCATACATAACTGCATAGTAGGCCACCTGGAGTGCCATCCAGAGATGTCACACCCTGTGATGTCTCTATGACTCTCCAGCACCCTTCTGTCATAAATGAGTGCTCTGTATGTGAGGGTCTGAGTCTAGGCTCTTTTTTCTATTACTAATTTCTCTCTCTCTCTCTCTCTCTCTCTCTCTCTCTCTCTCTCTCTCTCTTTGATATGACTGGAGTTTGAACTCAGGACTTCGCACTTGCAAACCAGGCACTCTACTGCTTGAATCACACCTCTAGTCAATTTTGCTCTGGGTTTTGGAAATGAGTTCTTGTGAACTATTTGCCCAGGCTGTCCACTGGAACCCAGCTCACACTCTTTTAATTAGTATATATTTCTAGCTTAATATTCAGTGGAGGAAATTCTCTCACTTGTTTTTGAAGAGTGCCTTGCCTATTCTAGAGTCAGTTTTAGTCAATTGGTCAAATTTCAGATACAGATACTCAAATATGTGGGTGGTTTGAGCAGTATTGCATCATAGCTATAGATTAATTTGTGAAGATGTGATATCAAATATCCTTCCATTTATGTAGATCTTTTACAATTTAAAATATTTAATGGACAAAGATTGTATATGTTCAAGGTATATGATGTGATGATTGCATATTTATATACACTGTGTAATGATGATCATAAATTAGTTAGCACATACATCACCACTCATGCTGTATATTAGATCCCCAGAACTAGCTCCTCTTACAGTTCAAAGTTTTTATCCTATAATCAACAGCTTGTTTCCTCAGAGTCCCAATTTCTTGGCAACCACCATGTTACTCTCTGTTTTTATAATTTTGACATTTTTAGATTCAACATGTAAGTGAGATCATGTAGTATTTTATTTTTCTTTGTCTTGTTTTTTTCTCTTTACATAATATTCTCCAAGCTCATACATTTTGTCACATACAAGAGTTCCTTCTTTTTATGTCTGACTAGCATTCCATTATATACATATATATATATAATTGCATATATATGTATATATAAAATTGTGTGTATGTGTGTATGTATATGTATATATACATAATACATTTTATCCATTTATCTATGAATATATTGGTTGATTCCATATCTTGATTGCTATGTATAGTGCTGCAGCAGATGTCTCTGAAAGACTGATTTCATTTCCTTTGGATATATTCTTTACTGGCATTGCTGGATCACATGGTAGTTCTATTTTTTAATTTTTTGAGGAAACTTCATGTTGTTTTCCGTAATTGCTGTACTAATTTACATTCCTACTAATACTGTGTAAGAGTTCCCTTTTCTCCACATTCTCATTACTTTTTGCTTTTTTTTGTCACTTTGATGATAGTTATTTTAACTGAAGTGAGATGATATCTCATTTTGTTTTGATTTGAATTTCTCTGATGATTAGTGATATTGAGAACTTTTTCACACATTTGCTGGCCATTAATATGTCTTCTTAGAAATGTGAATTTAGGTCTATCAGTCATTTTTTAAATTGGGCCACTTTTATTTGTTGTTGAGTCTTTGAGTTCTTTATATATTCTGTATATTAACCTCTTACCATATATATGGTTTACACATATTTTCTGTTTTTATTAGTGTATATTAATTGTACAGAGGGAGTTACCCATGGTATTTAATACATGCATATATTGTACATTGGTCAGATTAATCTCCTCTATTGTGCTCTCTTTTTCCCATCCTCCCTTCCCTATATTTTTCAACAGCTTTTACATATATCCCCCATCATTCTCTTTCCCTCTTTTAACCTCCTCAGACAGTCCCTCAATTACTGCCATGTATATATAAAGGTCCTGATTCTGCATGTGGAAGAGACAACTTTGTCCTCTGAACTTGGCTTACTTCTCTTAACATGATGATGATCTCCCGTTCCATCCATTTTCCTGCAAATGCCATAATTTCATTCTTCTTTATGGCTGAATAATTGCTTACACATATGTTCTACAATTCTGTAGGTTGCTTTGTCACTGTTGATTTGTTTAATTTGCTGTGTAGAAGCTGTTTAGTTTGATATAATCTTACTGGTCTATTTTTGATTTTGTTGTCTGATCTTTTGGTGTTATGTCCAAAAAAATTATTGCCAAGGCCAATGTCAAAAAGAGCTTTTCCTCTATGTGTGCTTCTAGTATTTTGATGATTTCAGATCTCACATTTAGGTTTTTATCCATTTAGAGTTAAATTTTTTGGTGATACTGGGTTTTGAACTCAGGGCTTTGTGCTTGCGAGGCAGACGCTCTACCACTTGAGTTATACCTCCAGCCCTTTTGCTTTGATTATTTTGGAGATAGGATCTCACTTTTTGCCCAGGCTGGCCTGGACCAAGATCCTCCTATTTTAAGTTTCTTGCCATCATTGGGATGACAGGTGAGTGCCACTATGCCCAGGTGAACTGTTTGGCTAGGCTTGCCTCAAACCATGATCCTTCTAATCTCACCTTCTCAAGTAGCTAGGACTACAGGCAGGAGCCACTGGTGCCTGTCTCTTATTGTGGTTTGAATTAGTGTGTATTTCTATGATTCCAGTGATGTTGAGCAGTTTTGTTTTTAATCAGCTGTTCATATACTATTATTATTTCTAGATGATATGACTGTACACAAAGAAAATATAAAATAATCTATAGCTTAGAAAAACTGGATGCAAATCAAAATACAAAACAATTTAAACTTCATGCAACAACAAAAACAAGTCAAATTAAAATGCCATTGACAGTAACACAAAAATAGTAAATACATGAGAATACACTAATAAGAGATATGTAAGACTTCTACACTAAAAACTATAAAACATTATACACAGAATTCAAATAAAACCTATATATAACATGCATAAAAAACAGGCACATCAACCAAAGGAACAGAACAGAGAGTCCAGAAATAAGCCCACAAATACATGGTCAACTGATCTTTGACAAGGGTGCCAAGAATACACAATAGAAAGGTAAATATTGTCTATAAATGGCTTTGGGAAAACTGAACAACAACATAGAAAAGAATGAAATCAGGTCCTTGTCATATAGAAATTAACTTTAAATATCCAGGCAAGGTGACTCATGCTTATACTCCTAGCTACTTAGGAGGTGGAGAGCAGAAGAATTGTGGTTTAAGGCGAGGCTGGGCAAAAAGTTCACAAGATCCCATCTCAACAAATAGCTTCGCATGTTGGTGTGCACTGGTCATCCCACGTATGCAGGATACTAATGGAAAAAAGCTGAAAGGTAGGCATTGTTCATAAGTCTCCCTGGGGTCCTAATGGACTAGGTTGGGTTACCTATCTGAATATGACAACAAAAGTGACAAGCAGTAGTAAGGGGCAGAGAAAAGAAGTTTAATCAGTGTCAGACAACTGGCTTGATTGATCATTACCTCAGTTCTGGCTTTGCAAAGTGGTTCTGGAGAAGTCGTTACCATAGTCATCACTTGAAGAGTGCAATCTAGTTTCCCTGAGATGATTACTCCTGCTCTAAGAGTGCAGCCAGAGTTCCCATCATTCCCCCCATTTTAGGATGATCTCATCATGGGTTGATCTGTTCTGAAAGGCTCACCATTGCTTGGGGTTAGTTTTGGTGCTTTGTCATAAAGATGTTTATTGATCAGACTTATTGTTCCTGGAATCCAAGGTAACTGCAGAAGAGACTGACTCAGGAGGAAAACAGGTTAGAGAGACAAAATAGAGCCAGGGAGGTCCAAAATAGAATCAGTGACTGAGCTCTCCTTCAATCCCCTACTGTCTTGATTGCACTGTCATTGTAGAGTGAGTCTTGGAGTCAGTTAGTGTCAGTTGCCCAACTTTGTTCTCTTTCAAATTGTGTATGTTTTGTCTCTCCATATAAACTTTAGAAACTATTCATATACACAAAAAAGCTTGATGTATTTCAATTGGAATTACATTCAATTTATAGATAAAGTTGGGGAAAACTGACATCTTGATGATATTGAGTCCTCTGGTCCATGAATATGGAATATGACTCCATTTATTTAATTCTTTGATTTGTTTAATCAGAGTTTTGTAGTTTTCCTTATATAGATCTTGTAGTATTTTGTTAGGTTTATACCTAAATAAATATATTTCATTTTTGAGGTATGCCAATGTAAATGTATTATGTTTTTAATTCCAAATTCCACTTCTTCATTGCTGTTGTATAAAAATTTTGAATTTTTGATATTAACTTTATATTCTGAAACCTTGTAATAATAGCTTATAATTACAGGAAATTTTTTGTTGATCCTTTCAAATTTTCTATATAGATAATCATATCAAGTGTGAACAAAGACAGTCTCATTTCTTCCTTATCTGTATATGTTTAATTTCCTCATCTTGTTGCATTAGCTAGTACTTCCAGTAATGTTAAAAAGCAGTGGTAGGAAGGGACATCCTTGCTTTGTTCTTGATATTAGGGAGGAAACCTTTGAGTTAGTTCCTCACTTGTAACTATGTTAATGGCTATAAGTTTTTTGAAGATTGTATTTAGCAAGTTGAGAACATTTCTCTCTATTCCTACTTTACCGAGAGTTTTTTTCATCATGAATGGAAGTTGGATTTTGTTCAAGGCTCCTTCTGCATCTATTGATATGATCATAGGAGTTTTCTTCATTAGCCTTTTGATGTGATGAGCTATGTGAATTGATTTTCAAATGGTGTACCAGCCTTGTATATCTAATTCCTTTTATGTGTTGTTAGATTCAATTTATTAATACTTTGTTGAGAAAAAATTTGTTGGGGAAGTTCACATCTATTTTCAGGAATATATTGTTCTGTAGTTTTCTTTCTTATAATGTCTTTGGCTTTGGTGTTAGAGTAATTTCAGCTGTACGAGTTACGGAGTATTCGGTGTGCCTTCTGGACATTTCTTCTTTCAATTGACAAACTATTCTAAATTTCATGTCTTATTTTTGCACCCATCTGACAAAGTTCTAGTACTGGATTAGTCTAACTATTCTGTCTTTACATGTCTGTGCCTGAGTCATTGACTATTTCTGTAGAAAATAATATTCACTGATTTATGGTCACAGATCTCAACAGGGCCCTTAGTGCTCCCCACGACGATGTGCCTCCTCTGTTCAACTTGTTCTCACTGCAAGGGATATTTTTCAAGCCTTCTCTCCTCTCTTCAAATCCCCAGCTCTACCTCCACGGTATCTCTAAGCTCAGAAGATTCATATAATAAATTCAACAAGCATATGTTTATTACTTGCTATATCTCTTCCTGACTGACCAAGAGAACCAAAGCCATCAGATAGAAACTTCTTCAAAATCTGGTCTGATTTTCCATCTGTTGGGTTCTTACTGCTCAGCTATACACATGGAAATATGTTGTTTGTCTGCATCTCTGGAGCTGAGCACAGGCCTTGAGAATATAGGGACTTGGGCCCTAGTTTCAATTGATATGTCCTGCAGTTCTCACCACTCTAGCTTGTTTCTTGCAGCTGACGTAGAAGGCCAATCCTTAAGACACCGAGACAAGCGGCTTAGTTTAAATCTGGTAAGTTTGGCACTTGGGTTGCTTTAAGTTTCAGTTTGACCGAAAAATAGCCTAGCCCTTCAAATCCTTTCGAATTCAGCACCCTGAATTTCTTTTTTTTTTAAACAGTGAGAAGTAAGTTAACTTTTATTATTATTTTTTTAATTTTAATTTTTTTCTTTTGTTATTCATATGTGCATACAAGGCTTGGGTCATTTCTCCCCCCTGCCCCCACCCCCTCCCTTACCACCCACTCCACCCCCTCCCTCTCCCCCCCACACCCTCAATACCCAGCAGAAACTATTTTGCCCTTATCTCTAATTTTGTTGAAGAGAGAGTATAAGCAATAATAGGAAGGAACAAGGGTTTTTGCTGGTTGAGATAAGGATAGCTATACAGGGAGTTGACTCACATTGATTTCCTGTGCGTGGGTGTTACCTTCTAGGTTAATTCTTTTTGATCTAACCTTTTCTCTAGTTCCTGGTCCCCTTTTCCTATTGACCTCAGTTGCTTTTAAGGTATCTGCTTTAGTTTCTCTGCGTTAAGGCAACAAATGCTAGCTAATTTTTTAGGTGTCTTACCTATCCTCACCCCTCCCTTGCAGCACCCTGAATTTCTGAGGGCTCTTCCAGTCTCCTCTTAAGACTTTAACTGGTTTGGGAACTACTGGACTTGGTGTTCCATAAGGACCCTATGAGTTCTAATAGTCTTCACCTCTGCCTACTTGGGCAGCTAATTAATGTACCACATTATACTTAACACATTTGCACAAATTAAAAACATTCAGTTTTCCAGGGTCAGATCTAGAAGAGTTGTCACCTATACCCACAGGAAGAACTTTAGCTAGAGGCTTGTCTGACTTTCTTGAGGAAGTTCAACATTATTCTTGAGTAATTTGGAACTGAAATTATATGCACAACCTTGGTGCCTACTGATAGCAATTTCTATGATGGGTTTGTAGTTCCTAACTTGTACCTGTTCTCTTGCAGCCATCCAGATTTTCCCCGATGTACCCCACAGCTTCAACCAGTGCAGAAGATGGCTATGTGCCCATGAGCCCCAAGTCCACTGCCTCTGGTCTTGCACCACCCTGCAGTCAGGATGACTATATTCCAATGAGCTCAGGAAGCATCTCAAGCCTGCTTCCTGAGTTACCTGCAGACTTGGAGCCTCCCCCAGTGAATAGAGATCTCAAGCCTCAAAGGAAAGGTAAGTCACTTAACCAAGCCTGCTGTGCTGGGGAAGGGAGAAAGATTCCCTCCTAACTGTACTTAGGAAGGAAGTGCTAGAGAAACCATCCCAACAGCTGTAAAGTAGAAGAAAGAAGTGACTGAGCTAGAATGGGAAGGGCTGGGGGCACACTGCTCTCCCAGATTGTCATGATGAAAGAAGTCAGGGACTTTGAGGTACCGTGGACCTGAAAGTACAGCCTACAAAGCCAAGTTCATTCCAGAGGGCTCATCTTTGGCTGCTTCCACATTCAGGAAAAAGTGATGGTGAATCAGAATGGATCCCACCCAGCATCTCCTCATTTAAACAACACTTGAATGTAATCACAGTGCCAGCCTTCTGGAAGGCAGCCAAGAATGGCCTTTGATACTAATTCTTTAATGTCCTACATAGTCAAGTACAATGTATCACTTACTTTTCTATACATGTCCATCAGCAGAAGTGATTGGGGATGCTAGAGGACTTCAGCAACGAACACCTTGTCTCCTACGCACACAGGGCAACTTTTAACTTCTGTGCTATTACTGCCAGCCAGCCTTTCTGGTCTGCTAGGCATCATGAACGGACAAAGAGATAGAAGAGGGAAAGAGAAAGGGCAGGTCAATGTGACTTCTTATTCTTGCCCACCCACAACTTCCCAGTAGGCTGTGTGATTACAAGAAAGCATTTACTATAATAGCCATGATCTCTGACACTCCATGTGATCTGCCACTTCAGATGGCCAGACCCAGGGCTGCTAACTAAGTCCTCTACTCATGTGTGGTCCACTTCAGTCACATGCCTTGAGTTTGAATCAGACCACATTTTAAGAGTATTGGTTCTATGTGTAGTGCTATGCTAGTCATTGTGTGATATGCAAACATGAGGTAGCAAGGAGAGTTATTCAGTGTGATGGGGAGGAAGACATATAAAAAACACCTGGAAAAAAAGAATTATGAAGCAAGTACTAAATAGAAGAACAGACTCTGTCTTAGGAAGTACAGAGGAAAGAACTGTCTGTACTGGTCAGAAACAATTTCATAGGGGGCTGTTTTGCTACTGAACATTTGAAATGTGACCAATGTGACTGAGGAGCTTTAATTTTATTGTTATTTAATTTCAATGCATTTGAGTGTATGTAAATGTAAAAATAGCCATATGTGGCTAGTGGTCACTATTTTTGAAAAGTGCAGCTGTATATGACCCAAAAGAAAGGTATTTGATGGACTTAGCGCTGGAGATTTAACAGGTGGGTGTAAGGAGGGTTGGGTTCTGGGATGAATACTAGGGTCCAGGCAGGAGAGAGCAGGTGGTAAAGCCTGGAGGTAGTTGGGTAAGTCTGATAACAGAGTGTTGTGCTGCCAGGAGAGACCTTCTCTTCAGGAACTGAATGACTCATGTGCCCTTTCCAGCTTAGCCACTTGCCCAGGCCCAAAGCACCTGGGAAAACAATTGTGTGGTAGGAATCTCATTGTCCTAGGATCTGGTGACATGGACAGGAATTAGGAAGTCTCTACCCATGTAACCTAGGGGAGGAAGTAGATATGCCACTGAGGGGATTGAGCTGAGTTGTGAAGATGAATAAATGGAGACATGTGGAAGAATATTTTCGGCACACAGTGGTCTGGAGGTAGATAGTTTAGAACCGGCTGACCATCTCTGACTCTTAGATGAATGGAGTGTCTGGAAGGCATTTGTATTTCTCAGGGTCAGAGACTTTTGTCTGTTTGGTTCATACTATATCTCCAATACCTAGAACTATGCTTGTCAGGCAGTGAATTCTCAATAAATGTGTGTTGACTAAATGTATGGCCTTGTTTTTGTTACCTCCAGCAGGTAACAAGACCGTTACTACCAGGGAGGCAGGGAAAAGTAGGACGGTGAAATTCACACTCATCACCAGTGCTTCCTTTTATTAAATTTGGGGCTGGTATGCTAATCAATGGAATGTTGTGATTTTACAGACTCCAGATTCTGGCCCTGAACTCCTGAGAACTAACTATACTGGATACTGTTCATTGTCTTGCAGCACGGCCACCTCCCCTAGACCTGAGGAACCTCTCTACCATCCGGGAACACACATCTCTAACTAGGACCTGCACTGTGCCTTGGTAAACCTCTGACTGACACCTCTGGTCTTAGTTAGACCTCTTGTGGTTGAAGCGTACTTGATCTTGTTTAAGCCAAAGGAGTAGCTGGGATTATTAGTGAGAGCCAGAAGTGGGTTATAGAGCACAAAGGAAGGAATATGACTGGGTTTTTCTAGGATTCTGGAACCAAGAAGTGAAGCACTGTTGGGAAGTCAAGTCATCTTTTCTGTCCTTCTGTCATGTCTGCTCTGCCTTCACATCTGCTCTTTTCAGAACTCTTTACCTCATGGCCAAACATAGCTGTACCATAGCTCCCAAGCTTGTTTATATGCTTCAATGCCAATGCCAACAAAGATGGGCTCCTGTTCAATCCCAACTCAGATTTCCTGGGAAGACAGAGTTGTGTAATTCTGTCAGAGTGGAATAAGCTATGGCCCAGGAGGCAGGGTCAGTACCAGAGGCTGGGCTTCCAGAAGTCCAACTTTGTGAACAGGGCAAGAGAATGGAGCTTTCATAGATGAAAGGATAGTTCATGGTATGGGCAGACAAACCCAAAAATGTATCTGAACCCCTCACCTTAACACTTAGAAGTTGCATTTTCAGAATCATAAGGCTGGCCTGGGAGTTTTTGTGATTCACTCCAAATGTCACAGGACACAATAACTTTGTAAAACAGAATTCTGCAGTGACTGAATTTCCAGGAAAGCTGTAGAGACACTCACCTGTGCTTGGTCTCAGGAGTAGGATGGGAAAATTGATCCTCAGTCTTATTCTTATCCTATCACAGTAATGATCACACTGTCTTATCTTTTCCTGGTTACTTTGAAAACAAAAAGACTGGAAAGAAGTATTTTCTTTGCTAAATGATAAGTGTTTTCGTTTGTTTTTGTTTTGGTAAATTCTCTGTTTCTAGAAAGCTCTTAGTTGTATCACATGGATGGAGGGCCCGGGAAAAAAAAACAATTGGGAGCCATTTGTTCCAGAGTGGGACAGAGCTGCTGGGAAGGAAGTCTCTGTTCTTCAGGAAATTGCTTGGGCCGGAAGGAAGTTGTGTCTGGAAGAGGAGGGCTCAATCCCCATGGGGCCATGTCAGTTCCTGGCTCCTTTCATAGCAGCTGTAAGACATTGCTTGACCTCATCTATATTTTTTATATTTTTCTTAGCAATCGAACCAGCTTTCTCTCTCCAGAAAGAAATGATATTAATTCTGCAAGATTTTTTGCCAATCCTGTTACCAGAGAAGAGGAAGAAAGCTACATCCAAATGGTAATGCTATATTTTCACATTCTTTTTCTTCTCCCAATCTATAGTCTTGTGAATTCATTATAAAGAAAACACATCCCCCAGAAATCTCTGTGCAAGCTTAAAACATTCACTTGATTGTAAAACCAGGTCACAGCTTTTCTAGATTAAGTGTGAATCAATTTAAAGCTGGTTTCCTTTCCTGCAATATTAAACTCTTCATACCATTTTGAGACCATAGTATTTCAGGAGAACCCAGGGCTGAGGCCTGTGTTATGGGAAAATGGAATGCTAGCAATTCTTTCCATCAAGGCTGTGGTGTCCTGTTTGATCCCAATAGGTATGTAATTCCTTGGATGTCCAGAGTTTAGACTGTGAAAACACACATATTGGAAGCTCACATTTATAAGAATATCTGCCTCTGAATCTTTCTAGTGTGTCGTAGCCTCTGGAGACTCCTGCTATAGGGTCTTTCTGTAGATCTGTGGGGGGATAGAGACCTATCTCTACCCTATGATATATTGTAAGCACTTTTGTAAATGTCACAGTGTACCCCCAGTACAACAATAATATAATAAAAATATACAAATGGTATTCTGTAGAACTATAGAAACTTTAGAGAAAACTTCAGTATGAACTTAACATTTTGAAAGGAAGATGA